TTGACCTGCCGAGGGAACACCGAGTCTGCTGACCCAACAAATTATTTTATTATTAAACTTAAATTAAATTATAAATTAAAAAATAAATTAAAAAAATTACATAAAAAATGAGAAAACTTTTAAATAGTTGATTTGATATTAACATTGATATTTTTTTTTTCAATTTTTTATGATATTTTTACATTTCTATTTTATTCAAAAATAAAATAATTATTGCTTTCTTAAAAACACATAAAATCGTATTATAAGATCGATGGAGACAAATAATAAAATAGAACATTAAAATCGAGATGTGTTTCGCTGCATTGCGCGAGTATTCTTCTAGTTTAATACTAATATTGATTTTATTTTTTAAAATTTTTAATACGATCATCAAATTCATATTTTATTCAAAAATAAAAACATTATCGCTTTCTCAAAACCACATAAAATCGTAACTAAACATTTAAATAGAAATTTATCTCGCTGCATTGTGCGAGTACCCTTATAGTAATTCTATAAAGTATTTGATAATAACTTTTAAAAATCATTTTTTGTACAATAAGTATTGTTTATTGATGCATATTACTTAAAGTTCAAGATTACCAGTAAATTGTGTGTAAAACGGCCGGTTTTTTAGTAGCTTAATTAGTTTAACGAGATTTTTTAACTTATTTAATTAGTTATAAATGATTATTTAACAATGACTTAATAATATAAAGTGGCTTATTTAATAGTAGTTCTGCTCCTTATATTAATTGATAATTTTAAATAATTGTTTCACATAATATGAAAGAAAAAAATTTGTTAACTTCAAAAATTATTATATTTTTTATTTATAATGTTTAAAAAAAATATTTATACTATATTATAAAGCATTTGACAAAAACTCTTAAACCCATTCATCCCTATCCGATTTCATCCCATACATGAATTCGTATAACTAACTACAGATAAACACAATCAAATACATGATAAACATCTCATTTTAAATATAAAAAATCTAAAATATAATTAGTATAATCATTAAATTCT